AACCCTCTGGTTCATGTAAACCTGGTAGGATTAATACAAGCAGGGAAAGACACCCCGTTTCCAGAACCATCTCTAACACTATCCCTGTTGGCTTGCCCTCACCATAGTTCTGGGCCCGTAGGACCTGACAACGTCAGTGAGACCCCCATCCTGACCGCTCTCAAAGAAAGCCTTTCCAACACGGGACACAGGGCTGCTGGCAGTTCGCCGAGACTCAGCACAGCAGAAAGGTCCTTCCCAAAGTCTACTATACCGCCTTCCCGCTACAGTGTAGGTCTAATCCCTTACTCAGCATAGAGTCATAAATGCTCAAGTGATAGGACCAGACATTAACAAACAGGGATGCCCTGGCTGGGTAGCTCGGCTGGTTAGAGCATTTGCAGGTTCGATCCCCAGTCAGGACACATATAAGAATCAACCAATGAGTGTAGAAATAAGTGGAACAACAAATCGATGTTTCTCTCTCTCCCTTCCTCTCGCTCTCTTTAAAAATCAATAAGTAAAACTAAAAAACCAAAACAAAACCAGGGATAACAATCCCCACCCCACCCCCAACCATCTCAACCAGTGAGTCCTTCTGTCCGCCCTGTGATCTAATGTCATTTTCCACCATTTCCCTAATGGGAACCTGAGGCAAATGGAAGGTGACGAACTTCTCTAAGTTCTCAAGACAGAACCTAAGGCAAAAATTCATGTAATCAAAATCGCCTTCAAAAAAGCATCCCAGCCATCCGCACACAGCAGCACAGGTGGTCTGCCTGCTCCTACAAACACCTGGGCCTATGTTAGACTGAAGCAACGCTTCCCAAACCAGCCTCACAGTCTACCAGTGGTCATGGCCTTGGTTCCATGAGTGCAACCTATGCTTTGTTCAAAATAAGATAGGATACAAAGTAGCATACTACTACGCCCTGGTTGGTTTGGTTCAGCGGTTAGAGCATCGGCCTGTGGTCCTGAGAGACCCGGGTTCAGTTCCCGCTAAGGGCGCGTACCTCGGTTGCAGTTTGTCCCCGGCCCTGGTCGGTTGTGCGGGTGGCAGCCACTCGATGTGTCTCTTCACGTCGATGTTTCTCTCTCTCTCTCTCTCTCTCTTCCTCTCTCTCCCTCCCACTCTACCTGAACAAAAAATGGAAAAATGTCCTCGGGTGAGGATAAAAAAACAACAACAAAGTAGCATACTACTACTACTACTATTCATTGTAAAAGTTGTAGCACCTTGTTCTAAACTTCCCTTTACTCTGATGCTCTGTCCCAGCTTTGAATTTCTCACTCTGAGTCAGGCTGAGAGAGGACCACACAAGAAAGTCTCTGTACATCTGGGGAGGGGCACCTTCTGCCTTTCAGAAAGGATTAAGTTGGTGGGCTGGGGAGAGAATTCTGAAAGTGGCCTGCTTGTCTAGGGCCATACCACCCTGAACGCACCCGATCTCGTCTGAAAGCGGCCTGCTGGCCCACAGACTGTCACCTCAAGGGATCCCGGCTTGGCTGGGGTCTCAGCAGCATCTGTGAGCCTAGAGAACCTTGGGGCGGAGAGCTCCAATCACACGCCCAAGACCCTGAGGCTGCTGGGACTTTAACCACCTTGGGAGACAAGGAAAAGAAAGCCCCCCGCACTGCTTCTCCCATGGATGGAGCAAGGCCAAAGCCCTGGGATTACAATCTCAAGCTTGCAGGATGGGACCCGCACCACATCGCGGCAGGGCGGGTTTTCTGCCCTTTCCTGGCGGCCTCAGGCCGGGGCGCCACCTGGCGCCACAGCGCGGTCGCAGGTGAGCCGGGCGGGCCGGGCCCTCACCTGCATGCCGTGGTAGCCCTTCCCCGAATAGGCCAGGAGCAACACGATCTTGCGCTTGGGCAGCTTCCGGGGCGGCTCCCCGTCCGCGCTGCTCTTGAGCTTTTTGGCCGGCTGCTCGGTCTCCTCCCAGACCCTGCCCGCGCCCTGCCAGCCGCTGCCGGCCCTCCGGTCCCGCTCCGGCCGGGCCCCCGCGGGCGCCAGGGCCGCGGCCTCCGCCTTCCCGGCCATGGGGGGCACCCTGGAAAGACAGGGGCGCTGTCAGCGAGACGGGCGCCCGGCAGAGGCGGGCTCTGCCTGCGCCGGGCCGGTTCGGCGTCCGGGGCGGCGGGCGGGGCAGGCGCGGGCATTACCCGGGCAGACGCCGTCCCAGGCGCGGCATCCACGCTCCGCAGGCTCTCCGCAGGGCCTCGGCCGCCGCCCGCAGGCTGGGGAGCCCCATGCGCCGCCGGAGGGGCGCCCGCTCGCGACTCCTGACCTCCCCGGGGCCCGACGCCCAGCCTCGCCCGCGGCCACGGCCAGGCGTCCCCTGACCCCAGCCTGACCTCTGGCCGCCCCAGCGCCCCCTCGTCCTCCCGTCCCGCCCGCCGGGACAGAGGGGCGCGGCCCCGCGCGGCCCCACTCACGGCGCCGCGGACGGACCCCCAGCAGCCAGACCACGTGGCCGAGGGCGGAAGTGCAGCGCGCAGCCACGGCGGCCGGGCGCGGACAAAAGTCCTTCGGGGCGGGGCTTGGAGGCGGGGCGGGGCAGTGGGCGTGGTTAGAGCCTGCTTGGGGCGGGGTGGGGCAGTGGGCGTGGTTAGAGCTTGCTTGGGGCGGGGCTGCCCCGCCGCGGACTCCTGGCGGGTCGCAGGCTGGCTGCGCACGACTCGAAGCGCACGGACCGTCCTAACGGGAACACAGGGCCGGGCCCGGGGTGCACGTGTGGACGCGGCATCTCTGGGGAGACGGACAACGAGCACACCGATCAGCCACTGACGCTGCGTTACGAAGTGACGAATGCATGGGAAAGACAGTCAGAAGCACCGACGCCCCTTGCAACGTGGGCGAACTTGAAAACCTGATGCTGGGTGAAAGAGGTCAGAGGCCAAGGCCACGTGGCGTTTCAGAACAGGCCCGTCAGAGGCAGAACGTGGAGTGGTGCGTGCTGACCCAGCTCTCTAGCTCACAGGCCTAGTGGGAAAGAGCTCACCTGCGCCAAACGACCCCAAGAGTAGCCCCCCTCTCTGCAGAAGGGAAGGAGGAGCTGCCTTTCCGGTTCCAGGGGTGAGGAAAGTCAAGGTCACCTGTGACCTGGTGAGCTCAGGTGGCTAAGCAGCATTAGGAAGCATCCGGCCACCCTCACACAGAGCATCCCACCTGCACACAGAGCCCCCCATCCCTGCTCCCTCCTCGACCACACCAGCTACAAGGGGTGATCTTGCATCTCCATTCCAGAGGGTAAAACGAGACCTGAGGTTGGGATAGGCACCAGGGGGCTGCAGTTTGATGTAGGCTGGGCCCCCAGTCCCAGCACTCCTGGTGAGGGGCCCTGGGCAGCTGGGATCATGCAGAGGACTGCCAGGTAGTCCTGCAAGGTGTATGCACCGAAAGACCCAGCACTCCTGGGCCCACCCATCACCATCAGGCTCCTGCACAGGGATGTTTACAGCAGCTTCATGCGTAATTCCTAAAATGTGGGAGCACCAAGATGTCCTTCAGCAGGTGCATACATAAATACATGGTGGTACATCAGACAGTGGAATATTACCCAGCATTAAAAAGAAATGAACGCCCTGGCCAGTTTGGCTCAGCGGTTAGAGCATCTACCTGCAGACCAAAGGATCACGGGTTCCATTCCTGATCAAGGGCACATACCTGGATTGCAGGTTTGATCCCCAGCCCTGGTTGGGGCACATATGGGAGGCAACCAATGGATGTGTTTCTCTCACATCAATGTTTCTTGCCCTCCCTCCCTCCCTTCCACACTCTCTAAAATAATAATCAATGGAAAAATATCCTCTGGTGAGGATTAACAAAAAAAAAAAAAAGGAAATTAGCTATCAAGCCACAGAGACATGAAGAATATTGGGAAAGACACTAATCTGAAAAGGCTACATACTGTAGATTTCCAACCTTCTGGAAAAAACAAAACTGAGGACAGCAAACAATCAGGGACTGAGGATCAGGGATTGAGGTGGGGGAGTGGATATGCAGAGCTGAGGATTTTTAGGGCAGTGAAACGACTCTGTACAGATACGTCATTCCACTTTTGTCCAAACCCCTAGAATGTACACGAGGGACGGGAGGGCACTGTAGGCGCATCAAATGTGCCCCAGCATCGCAAGGTGTTAACAATAGGGGAATGGAGGGGTGGGGAAGAGGTGGGTATATGGGAACTATACCTTCTGTACAGTTAACTCTATGAAAATAAAGTCTGTTGATCTAGCAACAGCAAAATATCAGGAGTGTCTCTACTCCCTTGGGGTGTTCCATTGTTACTCGCCCACGAGGAGCGCCCCAGTGCAGACAGGGCGGCTCGGCCCTTCCTGTCTGGGACCCAGCACTGCACTTGAGGAAGCCAGCCCAGAGGAGGCCCCACCTCACTTCCTCCACGGCTACCTCTCGACAAACTTTCGCTTCATGTTGCGGTTAGCCTTTTTGGTAATTTAATGAGTTATTTTTAACTGACAAAAACATTACATAGTTGAAGAAATGCAAATCCCACAACTCAACATTAGAAAGAGGTACCACCCAATTAAAGAAGGGCCACAGAAAAAGACCGAGAAATGGCCAACAAGCCTGTGGAAAGATCTCGAGCTCACTAATCCTCGTGGACACGCAAACCCACAGCACAGCGAGGACAGCGTGAAGACACAGAGGCTACCCAGCCCTTGTGGGGACGTGGCGAAATCAGGTGGGATGGAAATGGTGTGGCTGCCATGCGGGATCTGAGGCTGGTTCCCTGTAAGTTAGTTGTCCATGACCCGGTGAACCCAGAGAGGCAGACACCCCCAGGGCCCAGCTGAGCAGGGTCCACTGAGACCCGGCCAGGGGGACCCAGCACAAAATCCCAGCTTGCCCTGGGGGTTTGCTCCCCATGCTGAGCCTGGCCTGGTGCAGGGACAATCCAGGTGCTGCCACAGAACAGGAGTGAGGATAGGCCAGAGACGGTGACAAAGCCATCATCAGCAACAACTCAACAATTCCAAAGGTTTATTTCCTTAAATCGATGTTACACACTTTTAACACAATGGGGAGGGATCACACACTGTTCCTTTAAAGTAGACCGAACCGAGTGCTGTCTCACGGGGAGCAGGGTCGGCGGGCGGCACGCACCGGGAGGCACACGGAGCATACTTGGTGCCCTGAACGAGGGGCTGGGCAGGAGGCCCCCTCCGTGGGGCCAGCCTCCCGGCAGCCCTGGAGTCTAGCCAACCATAAAGCAATAAATAGGAACATGTCCTGTGTGGCGAGGAAAAAATAAAGTCACAGGGCTTCTAAGTCCAAGCACAGGGCAATATTCAAGTAGTATTGCAAAGAAACACGCATCGATTCGCCTGGGTCTGTGGCATCGACCTTAAACCCCTGGACAGGTGCCTGGACTTGCCCAGCTTCCGCTGGGGGTGCACTCGAGGGGGCTAGGCAGAGCTGGGCAGACTGGGGATGCCCGTGGAGCCCGCAGGTGGGCCTCCCTGACCCCTTTTATAGCGGCCAGGACCTGGAAGGGCAGGGGAGGTGAGGAGGGATCTGATGTCAAAACCTACTTACTGGTTTTTGCACAAAACGCTCCCCCTCACTGGCCACCGTCTCTGTGGCAGGGGTCCCCCTGCCCCAGGCAGGCTTACCTGCCCGCCACGGCCCCTCCCACCCCTTCCAAAACAAAACGTTCTGAACACCTACGAGTTTTCTCCTTTAAACGAAAAAAGAGCTGCAGAAAAATAAGACACATTTCACGTGAGTAAAATGTGAAAGACTGCCACGTCCACTCTGGGTTTAGGAAGCTCGGTGCGTCATACTGTGTGTCCCTAAAAGAACATTTAAATAAGACGCTGTGTCTCCCCGGGGCCGGGCAGCAGGCACAGCAGGGCTATGTATATGTGTATATGTATACGTGTATATGTACACGGCCTGTACACACGCCTCTAGTGTAGCAGCCAGGGCTGGGCAGGCAGTCCTGGTGCCAGGCCGCCTGCATAAAGTGCTTGGTGATTCACAAAGCTGGGTGGTGGTCTCGGGGAAGGAGAGGAGCCAGCAGCCCAAACCTCGTCCTGGGCGGGCCCCTGGCAGGCCTGGAGGCTTTGGCTTGAGTGGGCCCCTGGCAGGTCCTCGGCAGGACTGCGCTGGGTGTGGCTGGGGTGGGAGGGTGCCCACCCGTCCCCACCGCCCGGAGGCCTCCAGGGGCCTGGCCTGGGCTGAAGTTCTGTGCGGGCCCTCCAGTGCTCTGAGGCCCAGTGCCGGCCAGAGCCCAGGAAACAGATGTGGCTGGAGACCTAGCTCTGGACACAGAGCAGGGAGACTGTCCTTCCCCGGCACCAGGGAGCAGTGCCCAGGCTGCAGGCTTGTCCCTTGCAGTCCACCCACAGATGCGTGGAGAAGGTCCAGCCGCTGGGACACAGCAGGCAGGCTCCCAGGAGGTCAGGCACACATGCCAGTCAGCAGGGCCCGGTGAGCAGGGCCGAGAGTCTCCGCTCGATGCACAGCTTGCCTGCAGGGGGAGGGCCTGTGAGTGCTGCCCCTGCCCCTGCCCCTGCCCCTGCCCCAGGTGGGCCGGCACTCACACTTGGCGATGTTCTCCACGTCCGCCTGGTCCGTGAGAAGCTGCTGCAGCCCCTCCATGAGCAGCAGGGCCTTGTGGTAGCGCTGGACACAGTCCTCCCGGCGGCGGAACATCTCGTCCAGGGCAGCCGACTGCACCTGCTCAGCCAGGGGTCACAGGGCACCTAAGCAGACGCCCCTGTGCCCGTGGACAGCCAGGGGACTACAGGTTGGACCAGCGGCTTCCCCCACCTCCAAAGTAGTCAGGGGTCACCCTTGGGAGAAAGCACCCTTTTAGAACATTCGTTCAGTGTGCCTTTTAACTACGCAATGATCTCAGAAACAGGCACTGCCTCTGGGCAGCCCTTTGGGCAGAGGGACCCCAAGCCTCGGCAGCCCCGCACCGCGCAGGCCTGGCCTCCAGCCAGGTGCTGGCACTGGTCCCTTCTGGAGGCTGTGTCACCTGCTGAGAGGCTTCAAAACCAGTTGGGGAAACTGAGTCTCAGGGAGGGTGTGGCTAGGGATGCACCTGGGTTGTAGAGCCTGGGTTACATCAGCTGGGGCCTGCGCGGTGTCTTTCCCACCCGGAGAGACAGCCCCACCCGCCCCAGCTGTACCGTGTGGACTGCGTGGCTGAAGATGAGCTTCTCCGCGGTGACGCTCTGGATGCGATCCAGGAGCCGCTGCTTGTCCAAGAAGAAGCGCTGCAGCCGCAGGCTCAGGCTTTGGCAGGACAGCACGCTGGCCTTGTACAGCTCGTTCAGCTTCCGCACCACTGTGGGGGTCCGCTCTGCTGAGCCGGGAGTCACCCTGCCCCGCCCCCACCCCTGCCGCTCCAGGAGACCCCGGCACAGCCTCCCCGCTGTTGCCGACCCTCCCTGGCCTTGTCCCCGATGTCCATGCCGCCAGGCCGCTGCGGAGCCCACACTCACCCTGCTTCACAGTGGACGACAGGCAGAGCTTGCCGGCCCGGATCTGGTCAATGGCGGTCTGCAGGCCCGAGGACAGCAGCTCGGCCACCTTCAGGTAAAGCACCAGCTGCTCTGCAAAGCTGGAGGGCGGCAGGCTTGTCAGAAGGCTGGGGGAACCCACGCACCCACCCCTGCTCGCTAGGCACACCCACCCCCACTCGCGGCTCAGCAGGCTGATCTGGTCGGCCACCATGCTCTCCTGCAGCTGGTACTCGGGGCCGCCGGCCGCCTCGCTGGCGCTGCCCTTGAGGGTGGCGATCTCCAGGACGCTCTGGACGAAGACGAGCGTGAAGCGCAGGCCGTGCAGGATCTCCGTGTGCTCTTGCTGGGGGCAGAGCGGGCGCAAGGGCACTGGGGCGGGGCCAGGCCAGAGGCCTCTGCTCCGCCCGCCCACCTCGCCCCCGCCTTCCCCTTCCCCACAGAGCGCGCCCCGGCCAGAGATGCCCCAGCTCCCCTCACCTCCATGAGCGTCTCCTCGGGGAGGTCCGGGGCCTCGAAGGTCACAGCCCCCTCCAGGTTGGCAGCAACAGTGTCGGCAAAGCTGCAGCAGTGGCCAGGGGCCAGGGCCTCAGGGGCAGCCTCGCTGCAGGCCCCAGACACCAGGTGGCGGGCGGAGGCGGAGCCGGCGGAACTGAGGGAGCTCGAGGAGCCCACTGTGGGGAAAGGCCCGATTCAGGGCGAGCTCCCACCTCCCTACAAGACCCTCCATCCCCTCCGTGACGCCACGACACAAGATCCTGGACCCACCCTCTCCGGACTGGCTGGACCTTGGTTTCCGCGCCCCTCCTGGCCCCTGCCTGTGGTAGGCTGGACACTGAGCACAGGGGCCGGGCTGTCGAGGCCTGCCGGCATGGCCTGCCCTTGGCCTGGGAGGCCCCTAGCAAGCCCAGGACTCCTGATCCCACAAGGGCAGCCAGCCCAGCGCAGCCAAATTCAGACGCCAGGGTCCAGGCAGCCCAGTACCATCCCACCTGTGCGGGGCGCTGTGATGGTCCTCACCTGAGAACATCCTAGTGCGCAGGCCCTGGGGTGGCGTGGCCCCACTGGGGGGTGAACCCACAGTGAACACCACAGGGGAAGGGCTGCTGGCCCCCCCAGCACGGGCGCCTGGCTGCAGGTTCCCTCCGAAGCCAGCAGAGGGCGCTGTGAGAAGGCGAGGAGGAGCTCAGGGATTTCCCTCCCCCCCACTCCGCCCGCCCCAGGCCCACACTGCCCACCTACCGATCTCCATGGGCTTCTCATGCAGGCTGTCGGAGCTGCCGGAGTCTGGGGCCTGTGTCCCGAACGCGGCCTTAAGGAGCAGATCGGTGAGGCGGCCAGTGCTAAGGGACCTGCAGGGACAGGGGGGCAGCGATGAGCCGACCTGCAGGCCCAGAGTCTGGGGAGCAGCCCCACAGGCAGGCCTGCACCACAACCATCCCACGTAGCTACTGCCCACCAGGCACACAGATGGCACAGCTGGCACTGGTTCTCCTGCCCCCCCCCAGGGGCAGTCACAGTCACCCCTCAGCACACAGGCTCAGAGGGGGCCACAGAGGGGCCGAGTGATGGGCAACATAGGGGGTCTCACCCACTCACCTGCCGAAGGGGCCCTTGGTGTCCTCCGCAGGCCGCAGGCCAGGGCCCAGCTGCTGTCCCTGGCAGGGGCCTGCCTCCGAGAGGTCAGGCAGCGTGCGGTTCCGAGGTGGCGTCATGACCACACCCTGCCGGGCCAGGAGGGTCAGCAGGTTCTGGGAGCTGGGGGTCTTGGGGAAGTCGAACGCGGGCATGGCCTAGGAGAGGCAGGGGGGTGCTGAGAACAGCCCATTAGCAGGGCCTCCACCACACGCTGAGCGCCCTGGCAGGTCGGCAAGGTTGGCCTCCATCTGTAGGGCCCCAGCGCAGGGTCCCAAACCTCATGACCACCTTCATGGCCAACGCTGCTCTGCCGAAGGACACACCTGCGGGCCCTCTGCCTGCAGTGGCACCCAGCATGGCTGTAGGTGCTGTCTCCATCGCACAGACGGGGAGACTGAGTCTGGGGGCAGACTAGTTTTCCTGTGGCAGCAGCCCGGGCTTTCTGGGGCTGTGGGCCGCGGGACCAGGGTTGGGACACTTCCTCTGCTCAGGGCCACGTAACAGATGCTTTGGCTTTGGGGGCCAGTCTCTGCCATGGGAACACAGCCACCAGCAAAAGACTCGGCACTGAGGACACTGCTTCTGGATTTGGGGGCCCCCATGTCCCATGGAAGCAAGGGAGTGGGAATAAGGGGACATTTACCCACTGACCAGAACTCTGGGTCCCTGTTACCTTGGTGGGGGAGCCTAGGATGGGGGGCAGGGGGTTCCGCTGCAAGAAGTCAGGAAGCTTGGGTGAGCCACGCAGGGGGCGGCAGGACTGAAGTCCGTGGGATGGCTGTGGGGGGCTGGCCTGCGGGTGGCCGAACACAGCCCCCAGGGGGTCCGTGGGGGGCTTGGGCAGCTTGGAGTGGACGATGTGCAGGTCGGAGAGGTTGGGGGCGCTGTGCAGGCGGCAGCCCAGCCCAGCGGAGCGGGGAGAATGCTCAGGCGCGGAGGAGCCTGCGATGGGACAGGACAGGAATGGCCACTTGGCTCTGAGCTGCTGGACCTGTCCAGCCCACACACCGCCACCCAGGAGCATGTACAGAGGGACCAAGTCTGTTCACTGCACCCTTTACCCTCCGCCACCTGAGCTGCGCACCCCACCGTGCCGAGGGAACGGGCACAGAGCAGCTGAGACACCCGCCCAAGGCCACACCTAGAGGAGGCACAGGGAGACCAGTCCCACAGTTGTCTCCCTCCCTCCCTCCTGGCACTCGTGGGGTGAAGGCCTTGGGAACAGGGAGACAGCTCCACCCAAAGTGTGGGAGGCCAGCTGGGCTCCTCACCTCCCCAGATCCCCACTCACACCCAGACGCTAGTGCTGCACCTACCTGGACGAGGGGACCTGCCACCCCGCATCTCAGCTCCTTGGGGGGAGGGCACCCCACTCCAGCCCAGCCTCTCAGGGATGGTTCCGACTTGGAGAGAAGCGGTTGCCAGTCAGGGCCAGACAGAGAGGATGTGCCCCAGCCCCAGGCCCAGGCCCAGGCCCAGGCCCAGCCCCCAACCCCAGCCCCAGCCCCAGCCCCAGCCCCAGCCCCAGCCCCCGGCCTCAGCCCTGGCCCCAGCCCCAGGCCCAGGCCCAGCCCCAGCCCCAACCCCAGCCCCAGCCCCAGCCCCCGGCCTCAGCCCCAGCCCTGGCCCCAGCCCCAGGCCCAGCCCCAGCCCCAGCCCCCAGCCTCCAGCCCCAGCCCCCGGCCTCAGCCCTGGCCCCAGCCCCAGGCCCAGGCCCAGCCCCAGCACCAGCCCCAGCCCCAGGCCCCGGCCTCAGCCCCTGGCCCCAGCCCCAGCCCCCAGCCCCAGCCTTAGCCCCACCCAGCCCCACCGTGTGACGCCCAGGCCCAGTCCCGCCCGGGGGCTGCCCCAACAGCAGCACATGGACTGACCTTGTGGAGATGGCGTGTAGGGTCGGCCTCCGCCCAAGGAGAGCTTCCTGGTCAGGGCAGTCCCGTGCTCAGCGTGGGATGGGGGTGATGGACTGGCCCGCGCAAAGCCCAGGGGGCTGGTGCTGCCCGACCTGCGGATAGCGGAGGACCTAGGGACATGAACAAGAGCCGGGAAGTGAGGCCACAGCCCTGTCGGATGGCTTGGCCCCTCACCCTCCTAGACAGAGAACAACGACAAGGTGGGAAGCCACAGTGTATCCCCCAGGGCACTACAGGCTGGGGTCGAGGTCTCTGCAGGACGACCATTAGCCCACAGAGCCTTTCATGAATTTAAAAAAGGTGCCTTCTTCTCTTACTTCTACCTGTTGAAATTTGCCACAATCACTCTGTCCAGTGTGGTTCAGTGGCTAGAGCGGCGGCCCATAGACCAAAGGGTCTCGGGTTTGATCCCTGGTCCTGGTCAAGGTCGTGCAGGAGGCAACCCACTGATAAGTCTCTCACATGGCTGTCCCCGCCCCCCCAATCTAAAAAAAGAGACCAATGGAAAAATATCCACAGGTGAAGATCAACCAAAAAAAACAAAAATTTACCACAGTCAATACTAGTTTTGTAAACTCAATACTTGATTGACCTCCAGCAGAATGCTGTCACAAGCCTAGGGCGCCAGTCTGAGCCGTGTGCGTGTGGGGAGCCCGCCCCCGGGGGCGCGGTGGGGCTCTCACTACTGCGGGCCTGGCCCCAGGCCCTGCACACACCGTGGAGCCTGGTGCTGGGTGGGCGACTGCAGATTCTGCTCGATGCGCCGGTAGTTCTGCACCTGGGTGGGCACAGGGATGGGGACGGATGCGCCGCACCTGCTGCTGGAGAATGGGCCGGCCCGGCTGTGGGGGTGAACAGGTGGGGGTCACTGGAGCAGCACTCCCCATCCTCAGAGGGACTGCTCAAAGCCCACCCCTTGGACTACGTCCTTCCCGCAGTCCCTTCAGCCAGGCTACCCACAGGGGTGCGGAAACCCTGGCTCTGGCTTGGGACCCACTCCTGTCCCACCCCCGCCCGGCTTACCCTGAGGGGCTGGGGGAGCTGCTGCATGGTGGGGACGGAGACGGGGTCCGGCCGTGGCTCTCCAGGCCAGCTGAGGCCACCAGTGAGCTCCTGGCAGAGAACAGCAGACGGGCAGCTAAACGGGCAGACCCTGGCCCATGCATGCTGCTTGAGCATGGCTGACTTGGCCCTCCCCAAATCACCGGACCCCCAGTGGGGCCAAAGACACAGGCTAGAGCCTGAACCTCCCTGCCCGCGAGGTGCTGCGGGAGCTTACCCACTGCACATCAGGCTGTCCGGCGGGGGCTTGCCACTGGCTGCCTCGGCCACCAGGTCACCTGAGGACAGGAATAGGCAAGGCTGGGCCCAGGCATCTCTCGGATCAGAATGAGTGTCCACTCCACCCTCCCAGGCCACCGCGCCCACCGAGGCTCCCTGACAGCCCACACTTATTCCAGACAAGGTGGGGCTGCAGGCAGGGCTTCGTGAGACAGGGTGTCCCTTCCTGGGGGGACCTAGGGACATGCTGGGCCAGGGCTCTCACGTCCCCACTTCCATCACTGCTACTGAGAGCCCTTTGCCTGGACATCAGGGCTCCGGAGGGAGTCTGGATTCCCGTCTTCTCCAGCCTTCGGCCGAGTCCAAGCCCAGTGCCCACAGCCCCCAGTCTGAGCCCCACCCATCCTGCAGGACCCAGATCCACAGCTGCCGTCTTCCCACCGCTCTCTGTGCTGCCGGAGGCTGGGCACAGGGCCTCCCCGCCTCAGCCTGGGTCCTTGCTGCTCCCAGGGGACACCAGGGCCCACTCCCACCCAGCCCAGGCCCAGGAGGTACCAGTGTCCAGGGCCCTGAGGACCCAGGGTCAGGGTATGTGGGAGGCTCCAGCCCTGTAGCCAAGCTGACCTGTGGGCTAGCTCCCCACAGCCCCGAGGCCACTGGTGGAGACAGGTCAGTGACCACACACACAGGGTCCCTCTGGCCTCCCCGACACACTGCAGCCCTGACCTGGAAACTGGGCCGGGACCATGACAAAGTCATCGGTGTCGCAGGACGAATCCTTGCTGCTGCCGCCCGAGTCTCGGGAGCCCTGCAGGAAGCCGGCGGCGTCGGCTGGGGAGGTCAGCGTCTTCCGCAGCTGCTGCATCTCCCCCAGGGACTGGGGTCAGAGGGGCACTGAGAGCGGCCCAGGGCCCAGGCTAACGGGGCTCTGCCCGCTCCTCTCCCCAGGGACCAGGCCTCCCCTCATTTCTGAGATGCTGCACCCAGGCTGGGCCTGGGCCCCCAGGGGCAGGCACTGGGCACTGCCACCCCACTGAGCACTCACCGGGGGGGAGGCCAGGTGCGAGGTGGAGCTGCTGCTGGAGCTGCTGCCGGAGCCGGAGCTCGGGTACGAGGGCACAGGCACAGGTGGGGCTGCAGGGGGGGGCAGTCAGGTCCTCGCCCTGCCCTGCACACCCTACCCGTGCGTGGACAGCTGCCCCAGCACAAAGGAACCCAGGGACTGAAGAGAGGCCGTTCCCACCCCCAAATCAGGCTGGAGGGGGCAAGGAGCCAGGACCCCAACTTCCTGGGAGGGGCTACCACCACGGGGCAGGTGCATGGGGCCCTCAGGGGACTCACACTTCTTCACAGAAGCGCTGGCATCAAGGAAGGGGTGACGGAAAAACTCATCTGCAGGAGAGGGAGGGATGAGGGGACCTCAGGACCCCCACCCTGAGCCCCGCGGCAGCTCCTTCATCTGGCCCAGGCCCACCCACTCGCCTGACGTGGTTTTCCCAGCAGAACACCCACTGCCCTCTGGGCCTCACAAGCCGGGCACCGGCAGCAGGTGAGGGCGTGCACTCACCGAAGTCCATGCGGTCCTTGTGGTTGCGCTGCAGCAGGGCCAGCAGCAGCTGTCTCAGGGGGGCCGAGGTCTCCCGGGGAATGCTGGGGGGGCAGCCAGAGGACACACAGGTCAGCCTGGCTGGGAGGAGACTTTGGGGGACCGATGGGCGCCAGGGGAGGGGACTTACATGGGCACCAGGGTTTTGTTCTTCTCGTAGAAGAGGCGGAGGTCCTGGGGGCTGCTGGCCTGGTGGGGGGGCGATGGTGTGAGGCCCTGGTGGTCCTGGGCAGCTGCACCATCCCGAGGTCACTCAGCCAGGACCATGAGCCCTTGCACACTCCCAGGAACGGCACCCCCATCAGGCCAAAGAGCATGGACTACAGGAGGGTAGCCACGTGGCCACTCTGTCTAAAGATTCAGCTGGGCTTGGGGGGCTCCAGGCGTCTGGTGCAACTGGTTGGTTGCTTCTTGAAATTAAGGCATTACCCGTGCCCCCACCCCTGAAACGCTCGGCCCTCCCAGTGGGCATGCGCCCTGAGGGGAGGACCTGGCGTGTTCCGTTCACCTGTGCCCTCACTGAGCGCTGCTGAGCGCCAGGCGCCCTTGAGACCAAGACCGCGCCCGGCCGCAGGGCTGCCAGCCTCGGGGACAGCTGGCGACAGCGCCGAGCCCCAGCGGCCAGGCAGTAGTCGCAGGACGAGCAGGCCCACAGGGCTGAGTCCCACCACAGAGCAGCCACTGCTTTCCAAACGTGGGCTGCCCCCGAGCCTGGGGCCCAGACATCATTGAGTGGGTCACACCAGCCTTGGAATGGCGGGGGGAAGGCCTCGACATCATGACACACAGCTGCACCCAGAACAAGCAGACATTCTCGCCTTGGGCCTGAAGTGACGGCAGGTGGGGAGCCGGGAGACCACCTTGCCTCAGCGGGGGCCGTGATCCCACCGGCCAGCCCACCTCTGACCTGGGCCCGCTCACCTGGAAGGGCGCCTTGCCGGTCAGGCACTGGTACACGATGGTGCCGATACTCCACAGGTCTGCCTTTCCGTCGTAGTGCTGGGACATGATGACCTCGGGGGCCTGCGGGGCAGGAGCTCGGTCAGGCCCTGGCCCTTGGCTCAGAGGCCAGAGCGTCTGCCGGAGCACTAAAGGGCCGAAGGTTCATCCCTAACTCCGTAGGGGCACGTGTGGGAGGCAACTGATCAATGTGTCTCTCACATCGATGTGAGAGACAAAAACAAAAAACAGGTCAGGGCCATAGCAAGAATGGACACTGAGTATACACAGATCAAGTATAGTGCCAGCCAATCAATCACAACAGACACCAGCCAGGTGCCAGCCAATCACAACAGACACCAGCCAGGTGCCAGCCAATCACAACAGACACCAGCCAGGTGCCAGCCAATCACAACAGACACCAGCCAGGTGCCAGCCAATCAATCACAACAGACACCAGCCAGGTGCCAGCCAATCACCACAGACACCAGCCAGGTGCCAGCCAATCACCACAGAAGTGATGGAAACAATGGGACAGCCATACTGGCTAACCACCCAGTGAGGCCACGGGACGGCCGCTGTGGCCACGGAAGGGCAGCAGGGCTGGGGGCCGCCACCTACCATGTACATGGGGGAGCCGCAGAGCGTGGCCGCCATCATGTTGCTCTGCAGGTACCGGGCGAAGCCGAAGTCGGCTGCAGGGAGGACAGCGGGTGAGCAGGGCCGTCCAGCCCTGGCCTCCTCGCGCCTGCTGGCCCCACCGGCCCGGACTCACCGATCTTGACGCGGATGTTGTTGGGGTTGGCGCGCCGCCCGCCAGGGTTGGACAGCAGGATGTTCTGGGGCTTCAGGTCCCGGTGGATGATGCCCTTGCTGTGCAGCAGCTGCATGGCCCCCGCGATCTGCTGCAAGAAGAGCCGGATGGTGTCCTCGCTCAGGGTCCTCATGGCTGTGGGGAGACGGGGCTCAGGAACCGCTCGGACCCCCCGCTGGGCCACCAGCTGTGACGGGACCCTGCCCTCCTACAGCTCCTGTGGCGCATGGCCCTGTCACTCACACCGCAGGTGCCCGTCTATCCACCCCGAGGTCACCCTGCGCCGTCCCAAGCTACCTGCCCAGCTCTGACCTGATCAGTGTCACCTCCTCAGGGCAGCTCCCTGCTGCTGCCCCCCCCAGCTCGTCCAGCTTATGATACTTCCCAGCATCTACTCATGGCAAGCCCCCGCCTGTGGCTTTACGATGAACCCCAGGGCCTGGCCCTCAAGGCTCAAGGGGCTGAAGAAACCGATTGGGGTGGATACAGAAGGGCCTGACCCCTCCGTGGTGAGCCAGCACCCAGCAGGGCAGCCAGCCAGGCACCCCGGAGACCCTGCAGGCCATACTGGCCACTCTGAGGGTGTCAAGTCCCAGCGGACCACACAGGGCCCCGCTCCAGAGGAGCACTTCTAGACCAAGTCTGCCCTGCAGGGCTGCCCCATGGCTCGGGCCCCTTCTATCTTCCCCAACAGGTGCCAGAGGGACAGGAGGACCAGCTGCCCCTCTGAGCCCAGGGCCGCTGGTCCATGCTCCCTACCTCGCAGGCTGGGTCAGGTTGGCCCTGGGCACGCAGCCTGCCAGCCGGGGGTGCACTCACCGTGCAGATAGTCGGCCAGGTCCCCTCCGTTGCAGTACTGCAAGAGACCAGCACACCCATCGGCGCCAGGCACACCCGCCAGCCCGCCCAGGTCTTTCCCACCTCCCATGCCTGGGCATTGAGCTCTCCCCTCCTGGGGCAGGTGTCCCCTGCAGTCCATGCTTGAAGAGGTAACAGGGACACACACACACCCTCAGGCACCCAGCACAGTTGCCCTAAGCCCACAGGCACGACATGAGCAATGCGGCCTGCCCCACCCCAGGTGACAAGGGGTCTAGGAGCTAGGGGGGCCCAGACTCCCGGTTCTTAGAGCCAGGCCTGCAGGGACTCACCTCCATGACCAGATAGACAGAATTGGCCATTTCCTGTAGGACACAGAAGAGACAGTTAGAGGCGCGGGGAGACGCAGGTGCTGGCACCCCGTGGAGGGCATCTCAGCCTGTGCACTGGGCGCTGGGTGCCCTGAACACCCCACCTGGGCTACAGGCAGGACCGACCAGTGAGCGTGGACACCAGCTGCCCTGGGGCCAGCATGCCAAGGCTTCGCCAGCTGGTTGGTGGCAGGGAGACAGGGCGTCTGAGAGCCAAGTGGGCTCTGTTTTGGTTTTGAGGCCATTTGCCTGAGTGACAGGAACAGCAGCCAATCAGAACACTCCTTTACCATGTCTGGGGAAGGGGCTGAAGTCCCAGGAGAGGAATCAGAGTGGGGTGTAGACCCCACCTCCCAGTGGTGGCCCTTAGCTTGCTGTTCTGAGTGATGCATCCTGGCTGAGTGGAGTCACTCAGTGGGAGACCCTGGACCCCCCAGAAGGGACATGGCAGGGAGTGAGGGCCTTGACCCTCAGGGTGTGGACACTGCTGGGCTCCAGGCTCCTGAATCAAAGATGCCAATAGAATGACTGGCTTTGGGGTGCCACCAGCATCCTCAGCTCAGTCCACGTCATGGGATGGAGAAGCCCTGAAGGGCGACCACCTCCAGGCCACAGAGAGGCCGAGGCAGGCAGGGTGCCTTCTGCTGACAGCCAGCTCTTCCCCAGGGGCTCGAGGCCCCCAGCAGCCCCTCCCTGCCCCGCGCCACAGCCACAGCCTCCGCGCACGGCGCCCTGCTCCCCTGCTCCTCTCGGGAGCTCCGACTTCCAACCCCACAACGGGGAGCCCTCAGAGCACCCGGGGTCCTGGGGGGCAAGAGGGCAAGGACTGCAGGAGGGACGTCGCAGCGCCTCCAGAGAAGACCTGCTGCACAGCCGGGGGCCACCCCTGCTCAGATCCCCGGACCCCAGGAGGTCACACCCACACCCAGTGGACAAGGCGCGGGGACACAGTTCCGAGTGCCAGTGTGAATGGTACATGCCAGCCTCCCCCACCCCCGTGCCCCCCAGTGCTCCCACAGACAGGGGCTGTGTTTCCAGGGCGGACACACCTTGGGAGCAGGCTAAGACACGAGGTGTGCTCTCAGGGTGTGGGATGACACTGAAACCCCTCGGGGCCAGGCTGGGCACCTCTGGGCCCAGCAGGCTGGCTCTGGCACGCCCCGCCCGGTACTCCCAGGCCCTTCACTTGGGGCGTGTCTCAGCAGGGATGCACAAGCCTGGGAGGGGTGGGCTCTGTCCACAAAGGCAGGTCTCAGCCCAGCCTGCTTGCCCTGTGCCTCGTGGCAGCCACAGCAGAGAGGGCCTGGGAGCCCCTAGGCCCCGCCCACCTGCCCGAGGCAGCCCAGCCCCTCAGGACAGCTGAGGGGCAGAGATAAGACAGGGCAGGACCGAAGAGGCCAAGTCTCCCCATCACAGGGCCCAGAAGGCAGGCCCAGGAGCAGGAGCAGCAGTGGTCTGGGGAGCCAGGGAGCCGGGGAGCCGGGGAGCCGGGGAGGGAGGGAGGCGGGAGGCGCTGGCAGAGGATCGGGCAGAGACAGAAGGTGTGGGAGATAAGGGCCTAGAAATAGCCCCGGAGCCTGAGACACCCAGGCCACCTGCCCCTTGGTCACCTTGACCATGGCCACCTCCAGGGAGGTGCTGAGCACGCTCCCAGGTTTCTCCTCCCCTGTGAGCTCCAGAGGCCCCTGGCCCAGCGACACACAGCTGCAGGGACAGGCATCTCCAGCTCTCACCCCTCTTCCCGGCAGCTGGCTCCCCAGGAGAGCCCCCAACTCACCGCCAGGACGGGTAGGACAAAGTGACAAGGGCAGAGCAGGCAAGACGAGGAAGGTCACAGCGTCCACCCCAGGGAATCCCCTCAGGGAGTCGCCCACCAGGAGGGGCAGGGACACCTACCACCCGAGGGCTACTGACTGGGAGGTACACACGACTGCTTCCAGATCCAGGGGCACCCCAAAACCCAGGACACCCTCCCCTAGAAAGGAGGGCCCTGCAGCAGAGTGACGAGTCTCCTTTGTGCCTAAGAGCCATGGGGCTCCCTGCACAGGGCTCACCCCACCCCCCACTCCAGCTGGGGTGAGCCCCAGGTCTGCTGGCTCCCTCGCCTAGAACTCCTCACCCAGGCCCTGCCCTCCTCCCGAAGAGTCAGAGTCCCCGCTTATCCCCCTCCCAGACCACCCTGAAGCCACCCTGGTGCCACACAGCCCCTCCGAGAGCAGGGCACCAGAGGCTCTTAGCCACATGGGGCTGTGGGGTCTGGGCTCCTCCCCTCCCCGTCATCTCTGTCGCTCACCAGCTGGGTCATCCAGCAGATGCCTTGGCCCTCCCCCGCCTGGGCCCAGCAGGACCTCTGCTGTGGAGGGTCAGAACCTCAGAGACAAAAGCATAGCATTCAGGCCTGGGGAGACCCAGCGACCCTCTGCCCTGGGAGAGAGGACAGCTTCAGACAGGTAGGTCCCTTCCAGCTGGCCTGTGACCTGTGCTGACTCCACCCTGGAGATAAGATGAGGACATGCACCGGGCCAGCTGCGATGTGTCCTTACCTGCCCCCCCGCCCAGAGCCAATGCCAAGCCAGGGACAGGAGAATGTGAGGCCCAGCCACGGGGCCTGCAGTGTCTCCAGGCTGGCTGGGCGCTTCAGCAGGAAGGCTTCACGCCCAGGCTCCTACCAGGGTCCAGGGCCCGGCACCCCACCAGCCTGGGGCCATGCGATCCCTGTACCACCTGGCTGGGTGTCCCTCACCCTTCCCCAGGCAAGGGGCTCTCTGTTCTCCCCTGGCACGGAGAGGTCAACATGGCCTGCTGGCCACAGCTGCCCTGCCCGCCCTGCCCACCACCCACCCAGAAGCTGGACAGGCCTCAGGTTCCACCTCTACCTGCCCCCGCCATGGCCAAATTTGGTTTTCACAAGTTCCCCAGGGACTGAGTGAGGACTGAGTGGGCACCAAACACCAAGCCAGCCCCTTGGAACTCAGTCTAGACTCAGCGCAGGCCCGCAGGACTTCCTGCGGCTTCTAAGGACAGCCAGGTCCCAGAGAGGGTTCACCTCCCGGGGTGGGCAGGCTCTCTCGACCTTAGACCAGGTTCTTACCAGTATTACAGGTGAACACAAAGCCGGCCGAGTCATGGGCCCACCAGACCCTGGGGGTCCCCAGCCCCCTCAGCCCTAGGATGGAGCAGTGCAACTCATAGCCTTTTTGGGGCAGGGAATGGGCAGAGAGAGGGCCTGAGACTCTGCCCTCATCACACAGCTGGCCGAGGGGGGCAGAGCTGGGCTGGGACCTGGGGTTCTCGCCTCGCCCCCGTGCAGCCCCCAGGAAGGGCCAAGGAAGCAAAGCCTTTAGGAATGAAAGGAGCCCTGGCTGGTAACTCAGTGATTTAGAGTGGTATCTCAATATGCCAAGGTTGCAGGTTCGATCCCCGGTCAGGGCCCACACAAGAACCAATCAATGAATGCATAAATAAGCGGAACAACAAATCAATGTCTCCAAAATCAATTTTAAAAAAAAGAAAAAAGAAATGGAGCCTCTCCACCTCTTGGGCCCTGGCGTCAGGCACGTAGAAGGATGCCTGGCCCAAGCGCTAAGGGGCTTTGCTTAATAGGATCCCAGATCCCTGCCTGGAGAGCCCACTGTCTGGCCATCCAGGACTGGCCTGGTGGGCGGACAGGTGCTGACCTAGTTAACTCCTCACAGCTGGCTGTCTTGGCTCCAGAAGGTGGCAAAGGCCACAGGCCGGCAGGGACAGAGCTGCTGCTGCCCCTCGGGGCTCTCCTGGCATCTCCCCTAGGGAAGAGATGCGGGCCCACCCTGAGGGGGAAGGGCCTCCACCTTCCTTGCAGAAGCCCCGCTTCAGCTGCCTGAATGCCAGTGGCTCCCAGGGCGCCAGCCCTCCCCAGCCCTTCTCCCCGCACCCTGGGCTCGCCCGATTTGGGAAAAGCAGGCACCACTTTTACGGGGGTGGCGCATGAGCTGGAGCGACTCCCTCAGAAAACAGCCTGCACATTCCTGTGAGACCCCCGAGCTCAAGCTGCACCCCAGCATCACCACAGATCTGATGCAGACGAGCTGCAGCTCTGGTCTGGGCACCGTCCAGGGACACCCATGACGTGGCTCCCCGTGTGATGCCGAGGGCGACACCATGGGTGCCCAGGGCTCCAGCGTGGCCGACAAGCAGGGAGCAAGTCCCCATAAGGCCAGGGCCAGACTTCTGAGGACTAATCAAGTTCTGGTTCTCACCTCAGCAAGGGGACACCAGAGCCCCTTTCCTAAGCGTGTGATCTGCGTTCTGCCCTCTGGTATGTATTATACTTCAGAACGTTAAGTGAAGTAAACAGCTGAAACAGTAACATGACTTTACAGGTGATTTCCAGAAATGCCCGGACCCTGGTACCCAGGGACTTCAGCGCTGCCCACATCCTGACCCCCTCAGGCCCACCTAATATCACGGTGCCCCATCACCCAGAGCCAGGGGTCCAGAAAGAGCAAAGCCAAGGGTTGGCACTGTCCTGAAGGCCCCAAAGTAAGGGAGGACACTCACTCCTCTTGACCATAACTCACAGGCACAGCTGGTTCTGCCTGTGGGCAGGAATAAGTGAGTCACGTCCAGCTGTGAGCACCACTGTGAGCCAGACAGTGTGCTGGCCTCAGGGGTGTGAGGGGTCACCGCTGGCCATGCCCACGGCCATCACCCCTGCTTCCAGGGCACGCTGGGCAGGGCTGGTCCTGGCTGCACAGCCTCATCCCCCAGTTCCTACAAAGGCCATTCTCCCCGGGCGAGCGCGTGTCCCCCCACAGCACAGCACACCAGGGTGAGATCACCCCTCTACCCTCAGTGGAAGGCCAGGGACTCCAGCGAACTCCCCACAGGTCTTGGGGCCGGAGAACCGAGCACATGCCACGAGGCCCACCCCTGGGGACTCACACCAGCCTGACAAATGTTCCTGTTCCGCAAGGTTAACAAAACAAAACAATGTCCTGTTCCGTAAGACCAACAAAACAACCTCAACAGACACAAAACAACCCGAGGGAGAATATCTGGCATCTATAACACAAGGGCTTTCCTTCATATGTAAAGAGCTCCTCCAAGTCAATAATATGTAGCACTTACTTTATAGCGGGCACAGATTTAGGCACTTAGCATACTCACTCAGGTTGTCATCACACCCACCCTACAAGGTAGGTGTCTACTCAGCATCTACCATTTCACAGGTAACACAGAGGCACCAAGAGGCTGAGTGACTTGTCCCAGGTCACACAGGTAAACGAATGGGGAGCCAGGCTCAGTGAGAAAGACAGAGAGCAGGCAGTCATCCTAATATTCACGCGCAGAGGAAGAGATGCTGAGCCTCACACAATAAAGTCTCCACCTCTCAGACGGGCCAAGAGCAACGTCCATAACCAAGCTGGCAGGGACGTGGGGAGACAGGCCCTTCCGCAGCCCGCGCTGCTCATGTCCAAGGTCTGGTCTCTGCGGACCACAGTTTGGCAACTGCCCCAAACTAAAAGCACATCCCTCTCACCCAGGGAATCTACTTCTAGGAATCTACCCTGCAGACACACACACGGCGAAAGCGAGAGCAAGGGCAGTCACGATCACGCTGCTGACGTGCGAGGGGCCGTCGAGGTCAACAAGGGGACAGGGGGCGACGGACTGCCACAAAGCTGCAGCCACAGCCACAACAACAGTTAACACTCACGCGGTGTTTACTATGACCAGTTTCAACAAAACGCTGTGGTCTCTGTCTTAAAGGAAGAGGTGGCGGCACAGAGAGGTTAAGACAGTTGTCCAAAGACACACAGCGAGTTGAAGTGGCAGAGCCAGGACTGGAACTGGGCCTGGGCTCTGAACCACTGGGCTTAGGGGTGCTAACCTCACAGAAGGAATCCAGAGGTCGCTGTCCTGGGAGGAGAGGGGTGTAATTTTCACAAACGGACGGTGGAGGTGTTTTGGGGAAGGAGCACCTGAGAATGTGCGTACGCTGCCATGCCAAGGTCCAGAAACCCAACGTGGATGTGCCCCTCTGAGGGAGAGGGCGCCATCGGGACAGAGGCAGGAGTTACTTTTTCCACATCCCATTTTGCACTGTTTTATTTTTTTTTAACCTATTTTTAAAAGACTTTTTTCTCCCTGGGTCCCAGACAGGAGTCTAAGGACCCAGGGAGCCTCCCCACGCCCCATGGGGAGAGCACCAAGCCTCAGAAGAGGGGAGAGGCCACTCTGGCCTCTAAGCACTTCCTCTGTGGGGGAAGCCACAGCACTGCCAACCTGGAGGAAGTGGCACTGCCCACAACCAGGTGTGTGGCCCAGCGGGATGGGGATGGGGGAGGGGGGCCAGCCAGGGAGGAGGACAGGGAAGGGGAGGAGGGTACAAAGCAGGAGGAGGAAAGGGGCCACCATCTGGGCCCCAGAACATAGTGTCTCCATGTGGGCTGCCAGGTACCCACTGTCACACTATATCTGAGCCCTCCCCATGCCACCTCATGTCATACCACAGCCCCCAAGGCCACAGCCCAGCTCTGAAGGGGGAGGAGAGGACAGGGAGAAAGGGAGGGAGGGCCACCAAAACACAGACAGGCAGGGAACTTCCCCTCAGCCAGGGGCTGGTCCCGTGGCCTCAGTAAACAGGTTTCAAAACCATTAGTCAGCACTTTGGCCCACAGATCTGCTGCCTCAGGTTCCCAAGTTCCCAAGCTAGGCATCTAGGGTCCTGGACCCCCCCCAGAGGCTGGGCCCCACCGCCAGGCCCCAGGGACAGTGGGGGAACCTGACTTCGGCCTTCTGGGTCAGTTAGGCCGGAGGTGGCCTCATCAAACAGGCAAACGCCTCCCTCCTGCCCTGGGTGGCCCCAACCGCCAGCAAGAGGAATCTCCTGTGGCCCCTCCCCTCCCCCAGTCTGACGCAGAGAGAGACTGGCCAATGCCCGGCCCTGGAGCAATGTCAACAAACAATGGGCCAGCCCAGACAGGTGGGCAGGCCGGCGGATTACCAGGGGCCTGGGCTGGTGACAGGACTCCAGGTCAGGGCCCCCGGGTCAGACCTGAGGGCCAAGCTACAGCCAGGCCTCACTGGGTCACTCTGGCCAGAGTAACTGACCCACCGCTGGTGTCCTGGCCCTGGCACCCCGCTCTGGTCGGGCAGCCTGGGGAGGTGGGCACTCTTCCAGCACCTCGAGGAAGCTGGGCGGACAACAGGGTCTCCAGGTTCCCCGTCAGGCCAGATGGGGTTGCCCTAGAACCTCCCACCACTGACCAGGGTCTCCAGTGCCTGGCTGGCCGGGGACCCCGGGGCCTGGGACCCCGGGCGGCGGCCGCAGCCAGGCCGGGGAGAGCTTACCTGGAAGTCGTACAGAGCCACGATGTTTTCGTGTTTCAGCTCCTAGGACAGAAACCCAAGTTTCCTGTGAGCGCTGGCCCCCCAGCGGCCTCTCCCCTCCTGCACCCCGGCCCGCTCACCTTGAGGATCTTGATTTCCTTCCCAAGCAGCGTCTGGGACTTGGCGAGGTTCTTCTTGTTAATGCACTTGACCGCGACCTCCAGGTCGTGCTTCTGAAACCAGCGGGGCGTTTCTCAGCGGCCGGCCCCGGGAACCCCTGCGGCCGCCCCCCGTCCGGGGAGGCACCGGGCGAGCCGGGGAGGGAGGGGGCCGGGGCGCGGGGGGGTCCGAGGGTGCCCGGGGGGGGGACCCCGGGCGCGGGGCTGGGGTCAGGTGCGGGGTCCCGGGCCTGGCGCCCGCGCCCTCACCTCCCGGTGGCGCCCCTTGAAGACCACGGCGAAGGCGCCGTGGCCGATCAGGTCCTTGCGCGAGAACTCGAACTTGCCCACGGTCTCCAGGCCGCCGCGGCCGGGCTCCATGGCGCGGGCCGGGCGGGCCGGGCGGGCCGGGCTCAGGAGGCGGCGCGGGCCGGGGGCAGCGGGCTGGGGGCGCGCGCCATCGGGCAGGCCAGGCCCGCTCCCAGCCCGGCCGCTGACCCGGATCCCACTCCTACCCGACCCGGTCCTGACTCGGCCTCCGACCCGGTTCTGACTGGGGCTCCGACCCGGTTCCGACAGGGGATTCGGCTCCGGCTCCGACCCCGGCGTGGAAACAAAAGAGCCGCGGCCGCAGGGCCCCAGAGTCTAAGACGCCCGCGCACGCGCACTGAGCGCCGAGGGGGGTGGGGTGGGATGGGGGTGGGGTGGGGCCTGGAGGCGGGGCCTGATCCGACGGGGCGGGGCCCTGGAGGCGGGGCCTGGCGGGAGGCCGTGCGCTTAGTGGGTGGCAGGACTGGCGATGGGGCGGGGCCTGGTTAGACGGGGCGGGGCGGGCTGGCTGGCCCCTGGGCTGGCCCTGGAGGGGGCGGGGCCTAGTCAGAACGGGGCGGGGCCTGGAGGGGCGGGCTCAGTCCGTTGGGGCGGGGCCAGTAGCAGGCCCTCCCGGGTGGCAACGGAGAGCTAGGCCCCGTGTCCCATAATACCTGGGGCATGGAATGTGTACCCCAGGGCTGGGGACTGCATGGAATAAATTATTAGGGAGAGAACACTGCGTTAGAGACTGTGCATTTAAAATTGCGTTCTATAGTAACACTTTGTTGGCCAAATTGCACCCAAACCTAGGAAATAGCCCACAACTTCGTCAAAGAGGAAAGGTTAGATAAATCACCGTGCATCCTTTCTGTGGAACGACCCAGCAGATTCTCAACACGCAGTTAGCTAGACGTGTGCTCAGAGGGGAAGTACTCCAAAGCTGACAATTTAGTGCAAGCAAGATGTGCAACAGCGAGCTGAGCTACTTTACAGAGGCACTCAGTCCCAGACAGCCCAACAGGATGGTGACTACGCGAGGGAAAGTGAGAGAGGTAGCAGAAGGTAAAGGGGGGCAATGACTGGGGAAACACTTGACTTGGGTGGCGGCTCATGGCCTGCAAAGTCGTTTGCTCTGGCCCTTTTACAGAATAAGTTTTCACTCCTTGCCTTGAATTATAGAGAAATCCTTGGGGGGTGGGGGGAGGCTATTAAATGAGACTCCAGCCCTGGCCAGTTTGGCTCGGCGGTTAGAGCGTCGGCCTGCGGTTCAGAGAGACCTGGGTTCGGGTTCCCACTAAGGGCATGTATCTCGGTTGCAGTTTGTCCCTGGCCTTGGTTGCAGTTTGTCCCCGGCCCTGGTTGGGTTGTGCGGGTGTTAGCCACTCAATGTGTCCCTTTCACAGTTTCTCTCTCTCTCTCTCTCTCTCTCTCTCCCTCCCACTCTATCTGAACAAAAAAATGGAAAAATGTCCTCAGGTGAGGATAAAACAAACAAACAAAAAAATAATAAATGAGACTCCAATTTGACAGGTTCTGGGTGATTTTTCCATATGGCAGCTGTGGAGACAAACGAAACCCCAGAATGTCCTCGGGGGATCCTCTCCAGCACCCCAGTGCACAATGCCCAGAGAATATGACTGGAACTCTGTTGATGGGACACTGGCCTGGGGAGAAGATCCCTTCCTGAAGCCCCGAGGGCTGAGTGGATGGGTCCCGCCAGGCTCAGGGTGGAGTTTAGGCAATCACCAAAGTCCTCTGAGTTTCAGTTAATCTCTTCTGGAATTGAGAGAGATACCAGCCAGGATTAAGTAGGACAATGTAGCCCGTGGGCTTCCTCAAGTGCTCTAGTGCACCGCCCCTGGCCCCCAGGGAGCACAGTCCAAGCCAGCGACCCCGTTCCCGGAAAGTCTTTGTCCTTCTGGGGGAGGGGGGGGCGGACTTCAGGCAAAGCTTCTCAGGGCGTGGGTCAGATCTCAAGAGCTTCAGAGCTTCAGACTTTGTTTAAACAAAAGCAGGGCGGCCGGCCCACTTTGACTCTGCAGCTACTGCTGGTTCTAAGCTCTGGGAGGGGCAGGATGGGACTCTGCCTCCTGGCTCCCAGAAGGTTGGAACGGTGACAGCCTGGAGTTCAAAACCAGGGTGGCCTCTGGCCCCACCCACCCTGGCCTGGTAACCCAGTCCCTTCCAGCCAAGCCCAGAGAGATAGGCTGCACCTGTGTCCCGCAACACATGGAACATAACCACCTTATGACCCAGAAGTCCTACTCCCAGGACACCAGGAAACGGCCACCGCACAGCAGACGCAGAGGCCGACACTCGTCCCTGCCACAGGGCGGCTGAAACAAAACCCTTTGTGCAAAGTGGAAAAAGCCAGACTGACAACCCTGCCGCACATCCCACGTGGCATCAGAAATCCCTTCACGGGTTGGTTGCCTGGGGTGGGGGTCCACTGGGAAAGGACCAGAGGGGACTTTGGGGGTGACAGACACATTCTGTAGTGACTGGTGCGGGGAATACGTGGCTTTTCACAGTTGTCATACTCTCTGAACTGCACTCTAAAAATGTGTGCACTTACACCTCAGTAAGGAATCGCAGACACGTGCCACAGCATGCATGCACCTGGGAACTTCCTGCAAAGGGAGAGAAGCCAGACACAAAGGCCACACAGCATGTGATCCCGTCCACACCAGGCAAATCCCTCGGAAACAGACTGGTGGTTGGCAGGGGCTGTGGGGAGAGGGAGGGAGAGGATGCGTAGGGTTGCGGGGTCTGCCACTGTGCCCGCAGGGGCTGCACTGGGGGCCAGTGGGTGTGGCCCTAAGAGGAACACCTGGTGCCAAAGTCCCATTGCGGAGGAGGGACGCCCTCCATGAGGACCTGGAGGGAGAAGGAGCATGAGGGATTGTGGGTGCAGGGACCCCAGGCCTCTCCAGCATCTTGCCTGCCCCAGAGGGCTAGAATCCAGGAACCTCAGCGGCTTCTGAGGGAAGCTTAAGCTGGCCCGGAGCCTACCGCTGGCCAGACTGGTTCCTGGAGAGGTCATCCACCGAGTGCCCACGGCCCCTGGACCCGGCTGCGTGGGTGACTCAGCCCAACATGCACCGGAGCTGCCTGAAGATGGACGGACGACAGGCAGTCACAGCCTCGCAGGACATCGTAAAGGCACGTAGCAGCCGCTGCCAGGCTCTGTCACCACAGGGCTGGGGGCAGGGACCAGGGCCTGCGGCTTCCTCAGAGTTCCTCGGGTGCTCCTCCAAGCCTCTGGGCCCAGACTCCCAAATGCTCTGATGTCCTGCACTCCCAGCCTGGCAAACCTGTTCTCCCTCTCGTCGGCCCTGTCGCAAGTGGCACCCAGGTGTGTCTCCCAATGACGCTGACGCTCCCATCTCCCTCCTCACCATGATCACATTTCCTCTCCCACAGTTCCATCAGCCAGCCTCCCCCTGGTCCAAGCCACCCTAGCCTGGTGCAGGGACACCTCAGGACCCCGTAGGGGTCTCGCCGTGTCCTGTATCAGCTATGCTCCTCAGGGCAGCCCCGTCTTCTTTGTCTTCATTACCCTAAATCTCGCCCAGCTCGGCCTGTCCCAGCCACAGGGACTTTGCACAGACCAGCTCTGTCAAAACACTGGTTTCAGCTCCCAACTCACCTCCTGGAGAGGCTTTCTCTGACCACCATTCCATCTAAAGAAGCCCCTCCCCTCCCGGTCACGAATGACAAGGATCTACGGGCCAGGGGGTGCACTCCAGGGTTCTGTGGACTTGAATGGGAGACAGTTACATCCTTGTTTTCTGTGACCTCTAACAGAAGTTTACATTCACCCTCTCCAGAGTGGTCAAGACTAACCCCGTCCAAAACAATTCCAATTTCTCAGCAGCCCCCCCACCCCCACTTCCTTTCCTTTGTGACTTATTGCTGCAACTCTGCTCAGTGATTACTCATTTTCTTTCCTTTTTTTTCTTCTTTATTGATATTAGAGAGAGAGGAAAGAGAGGGAGAGAGAGAGAGATGGAAACATGGATGAGAGAGAACAGCGATTGGCCGCCTCCTGCACGCCCCCACTGGGGATCGGGCCCACAACCTGGGCATGTGTCCTGACCAGGAATCGAACTGGTGACCTTTTGGTGTATGGGTCGCAGCTCAACCACTGAGCCACACTAACTGGGCTATTTTTAAAGATTCTTGTTTTGTTTTAATCCTCAACCAAGGATATTTTTCCATTGATATTTTAGATAGAGTGGGAGGGAGGGAGGGAGAAAGAGAGGGAGAGAAGGAGAGAGAGACATTGATGTGAGAGAGATGCATCAATTGGCTGCCCAGGAATAGAACCTGCAACCCAGGTACGTGCCCTTGACTGGGAATTGAACCTGAGACTCTTTGGTCCGTGGGCCAAGATTCTAACCTCTGACCCAAACTGGCCTGGGCCCAAGCCCTCTTTTATAAAAGGACCCTCTCACACCCTCACTCACAAAGGACAACTTGTAAGGTCCATAGCAGTAGTACTGATAAAAGGAAAACACTGGCAAAAAGCTCAAACCTCAGCTCTGAGATGGGTCTGCCGTGGAATATTATACAGCAGTGAAAAAGGGGCAGCTTCTCGCTTCCTGCAACAGAAAGGATGCTTCTTACAGACAGGATCTGGAGAGGGGGAAAGTGAATCTCTCCCTCTCCCTTCCTCTCTCTCTCTAATATCAATAAAGGGGGGGGGGAGTTCATTGTAGAATGTGGCACCTTCTACAAAGCTGAAAATGATTAAACCAGGCATGACCCTGGGATGCATGTGTAATGAGTGTCTTGTCCATCTGTGCTGCAAGCACAGTCCAAGGAAAACAAGGGGAAGACAAGTCAGGAGGAGGCCTGCCTGGGGGCCCAGGGACGGGTGCTTAGCAGGGAAGTCAGAGAAGCCAGCAGGCGTCAGGTGGTGAGTGAGCAGCATGAGTGAACACAGGCAGGTACATGCTGCTGGGTGGCCGACGGCCTGAACCTGTGAATCACCAGCCGGCATGTGCCAGGCTCTGTTCTGAGCACTTTATATCCTCAGCTTCCTCACAACAGCCCCGTGATCTCCTGCCTGTCGGTCAGGACCCGCCAGGCTACGCCACAGCAACACAGTCCCATAAAACTCAGCGACTCCAAA